CTGAGAGCTCCTGAATTTCAAAATTATAATAATTTGGAAGGAGGAGGTTTACATTTTCCATTTCAAGACAGGCTCCTGCCTTCCTTAGCAGACACCTGTCTTTCAAACCAAGACACATGCTTTAGATTTTTGTTGAGTTTTTATAAATAGGGAACACTATCAGGGCATTCTTGTAGGAAATTGTTGTCAGTGTAAGTGGGTAAGAGCACTGGAGAACAATGAGAAGGCCTTGTTCTTGCCACCTTCTGAAACCAAGCACTAACAGAGCAGCACAAAGAAAACGAATTTATTTTCCCTTTTATGTTTCACAAAGAGCCTTCCATAAAGGATGTTAAGTGATACATGCTACCAACTTTTTGGAATTTTTTTTTGTTCATAATTACAAAGGATGGTAGAAATGCACATTACATAACAAAGACCAAGTTGGGTGGAGGTGGAAAAATGATTAAAAAACATTTTCAGCATTTTGAGATTTACAGCAGTTTCTGTACAATTTAAACTGCAGTTCTTAAGAGTGAGCAGCTTTGAAACGTAGGTCTGAAACCTGTGAATTGCCCTGTTTATTTCAAGTGCATGATTAACTCTAGAGAGCAATTATGCCAATTCAACTTTGCTAGGTTGTATCTGGTTGCATGCTGATTTTCAGTATTGCACCGTTGCTATTTTTAATCCTACAGAGAAAGCAAGTGTAAACACTGCAATAAAGAAATTCATACCTACATATTGTGAGATCCCACTGTTGTGTCCAAACATTTCCATCACTGTTCAGAATGTTACTTTTGTTGGGGAGAGGGCACTGGGCTGTTATTCACTGTGTTAATTGATGCATAATACAAAAATACAATTCTGCAGATACCTTTATTGCATTATACCAATAGTTCAGTTAGTATAATTGCATACAAAGAGCAACCAAATGTAATTTTCTTTTACTTAATACTTGCTCCGCTGTCCCTTTCAGCTCCTTCATCTGATTAACTAATGTGACTGAGAGTTCTTCCGAGAAACAGCCATGGAAGTACTCAAAACAGGACTCTCCCTGATCTTCACACAAAATCTGTGCAACCACTAAATGCTGTGGGGAAGAGACTGGAGGAAAACAGTAACTCAGTCTGGGTGAGAAAATGATTTGATGGCAGTTTCCATGCAAGAAACCAGGGCTGCACAATGGCTGGAGGATATGCAGGGCAGAAGGGACAAAACAATGCAAGATTTGGGGGGGAAAAAGGTTAATATTTTTGTACTGTGTGCCCTGACACAAATAAGTAGTTAGTGGGACAGAAGAGAAGGTGAAACATCAAAAGAGAAGCTATCCTCATGGTATTTAAAGACTATTCAGAAGCACCAGAAATCTTTAATTAAAGCTTGATTGCTCTGTGTCTTGTTATCTCCTTTTGCCTACTGAGAATCCTATTTTGTCTCTTTCAGCTTCTGTGATAGTAATTTGTTTACCTCGAGTTCCTCATTATTGCTCACTGTATCTTCATATGCCCGAATTTCCCATATTCTAGCCTTATGTATAAAAGGAAATAGTGTTGGTTTGATATAAATTGACTTTTTAATTGGTAGTTGAATGATAGTGTGGTTTGAGAAGCTTTCAGTTTTACTTAAACTAACACATAAACAATTTAAAACCAAAGCCAAACTAAGCCTGGGTTTACAACAGAATAAACAGCACTCAGCCTTCTGTACAGATTTAACCATCTCAATGAAAAATCTTGGTTCCATTAAAGCTGTTTCAATCTTCTGGTATATGCAGACCTTGTTATAACTGTTTTTCCAGGCTGCTTCTAGAATCAAGTTTCACCTGCAACCTTTCAGCAAGAAGCTGGTATTCCAGCAAATAACACATCATTAGTTAATTGGAAAGGAAAGCATTTGCACTGCCCTGTGCAAATGGCACCTCGCACTGCAAGTAACTGTGATTTGAAAACACAGGAATTTTTCTGTGCTGGTCCTGGTCATCAAGAAACTTGAGAGAGTAACATCACCACATTAGTTGTAGACATTTCAGGTCTTATTCTACCCAGTGTAGTCATTATCCCAGGTGTGACACACTACAGTGGGTAATGCATTTCTGGATGCTTCAGGATATTTGACAGTGTGACTGTATTGTGTGTTTTGAATCTCCAGTGTGCATGACCTGGGGGCACTCTGAGTCGTGACCAACAGTGGCAAGGCTGAAGAAGCAAGTCAGTAGCTACAGGGCCTGAGAACAGAGGACAGGGGCTGGTGGTGCCAACCATCACTTCTGCTGAAAATGGATTTCCAAGCACAGGCAAAAGCAGCAGGTGTATGTAAGAGGTTGTGCCCAGATACAAAGGAGCAAGTGGTGAGCCCATGCCCTTGAAAACAACTGAGATTCTTTGGATTTAATGTTGTGTAAATAAAGTGCTACCTGTCTTTCAGACTGTAGCTCCTGCTGCGAAGGCTGAACTGGCCTGGGGACTTAGGGAGGGCATTTTATTATCCTGTTGTCTCATCAGCTTTAGGAACACAGTTCTTTGTTTTAGTAAGATTTCTTAAGAAGGAAACACTATAGTGTGTGATCCATCACACAAGTCAAAGATCCTATTAACTGTAATTACTTTTAGCTGAGCTCATATTGGTCTTCAGGGTGGTGCTGATGCTGTTGGTTCACTCACACAACAGTAAATATGTGCCCATCAAAGGAAAGGCCTTGAACAGACTCAGCCTGAGGTTTCTTAAATGCATTATGGGATGCAGAAAGAAACAAGATTAAAGTCGGGTAAAATACATAGCCTAGGGACCAAACAAGCATCTGCAGTGTTTCCTGACAGCAACCAGGGGCTCAGGAACACAAAGGAAAAAGGGGATTTGGTGCTGCAGAGACCCTCAGAAATGCAATGACTTTCACTGCCACTCAGCTTCTCTGTTTCTGCCCTGTCTACTCTGAGGGCACAAGGGGAGAAAATTGCTGTAGGAGTAATTTTAAACCCCAAGGGCTAGAGACAATTTTAGACAGAATATGAACAAGACCAAGGATAAAGCCCAGAAAATAGGCAAGCTGTTTTAGATTGGAATTGCCTTGAATTTTCACCCCAAGGTCATCACAAATTATTTTAATTGCTCAAAGTACCTCAGTGACCTTGTCTTCTACCCTCATGCAATCTGATTCCCTTTATTTCTACTATCCAAGCCTTTCTCCAAATTGAATTCCTCAGACAGGACAGAGAGCAGAAGAGCTAAATGATGTCAAGTCTAGTGAGAAGTAGGAATAAAAAAATTCCCCAAAAAATTTACAGCCACAGGATTTCTAGCTCCCACGCACTTTACATTAACTTTGCATCTAAAATCGAATGGGTTTTTTGTTGCTAAAAGAGTAGGTACCCTGGAAGGAAATGTATAGCTGCCTTAGAAAACTACATCACCACCTACAGAAAGTCAGCCAGAAATCCATAGTCTACATCTGCCTACAGATCCTACCATGAGATCAGTATTGACCCAAGGGCAATACTGACAGCACTTAGAAGACAACTCCACTTACAGGCAGGAAACAGAGACAGAGATATTGAAGGGAGGACTTCAAAGGATCTTCAAAGAGAACATATAAAGATACTTTTGTAAATTATACCTTTGTGACAGCCCAAGCTCACACACAACATCTGTAACACAGTCTTTATAGCTGAACTGCAGCTTCACCCAGCCCAGCATCCTCTCATTGCCTCTGTCTTGTTCCCTCAAGGCTCCTGACAATGCTTCTGCACTTTTCTTGCTGTGGGATGCTCAGGACATAAAATATCAGTAAACTCCATGTGATGACAACTCAGCTGACCCTGCAGGTCCCCTCAGCCTCTGCTGCCAGAGCTCGCTTCACAAGAGAGCTCAGGCAGCAGCAGCTGCCCTGCTATGGCAGCACGGAGTGGGCTCCTGGATCCAGCTTTTCAGGGAGGCTTTGAAGGCTGTGTGGGGCTTTTGGCCACACTGACCAGACTGCTGTCAGCATCAGAGCTAACACCATTACTTCGTGCACCTCAACAGAACACTGCAGGTAGCAAAGTGGAATACAGCCTGGAAAAGAACAGATGCAAAGAACTCTTCTTAGGCAGAAGAGTGGGAGAGAAGGAGGCAAGCAGGAACAAATCCCTAGGTTTACTGACAGAGCAAAGGAGGCATACATCAACCCTGCTCTCTAACTTAAGAGGGCTGGTATTTCAAATTGGCAGATAAGTAGCTGGTCCCAAGTGAGGAGAAACAGCTAGACACAGTGCTGAGGGCTGCAGTTGTAACAAGTGCTTGTCTCCTTTTGCTACCCCTCACTTCCATGGTCAGCCCTGCTGCCCCAGGCAGGCTGGAGGTTGTGGCTGCTTGAACCAGTTCAGGAAGAGAGGCTGGCAAGGAGGAGGGAAGGAAGCAGATTCAAATGGAAATGCACCTTTAAAGGCCCAAAAGAAGATACTGTGAGTATGTGGGAAAACGTGGGAGAGGAGAGAGGGAAACATTTGGGAGACAGCAATGGGAGGGCGAACTCAGGGAAGGGAATTCTTGCCATTTATTTGGCCCACATCATTACAGTTAGGTTGGAAAGACAAGCTGAAGGGTAGGGAAGAATGAAGTAACATGAACATATAAGACTGACATTTCTAAGTCCAGTGTTGAACTGTTTCAAATGGACAATGAGTATTTACTGAAAAAGTGAGGCTATATTAGTTCAAACCAAGTCTGTATTAAGTACAGTTGGGTGTTCAGGTTAAGAAATGCCAAACACACTTATCTTACAGTTTAAGCCCATGTTTTACTTCAAGCAGCCTCCTCTGGTTCTTTCACCAGCTTCCAGTCTGTTACAGTTAAACCCAAGTTACAGTTAGCAGATAAAGGTAATTTCTTTCTAGAGCATATTTTGTTTTATTTGTAAGGGACTTGGGAAAAGCGCTAAACAAAGGCTTTGGGGAAAAAAATTGCATTTAGCCACATCTGTACTTAAATCTGTACTAGTTAGAAATCTTTCCTATCTGATGATGTTTCTCTGATTCGACAGTTACCTGCTGGATCAGAAAAGGGGGCACTGCTGAGCTGGAGATTTCCCAGAAGCTTTTGTTCCCATCCAAATTTCTTCTGGCCACCTCTAATGGTGAGCAAATTGCTTGAGTCTGGAGGGGTACCTCGAGGTGTCCTCTCTCCACTGACTAAAAAACAAGAAATCACAGATTGGTTTATGGTTGAGGGGGACTGAGTCACTATGTAATCCAAAACTGAAGCTAAAATAAGGGCTGCAGACTTCTGTGCTGAGAATAAGAGCCTGCAGTCACAGGATATAACATAATTAAAAGAAACGGGCGGATTTACTTTCCATTGTTGTTATGGAACTGAGACAAAAGGCAAATAAACAGGAATGAGTGGTAGGCAAAACATTAAGTGAATGAAGACACAAAGCAGAAATACAGAGTACAATCTTAGCACCTGTTATAAAATTTATTTAGCCAGTAAAAGTATGAGGCATTTTCTTTAATTCTATCCTAATTTTAAGTTCTCTTTGAGTACTGGAACTTGAAGTATGTTGTATTTATGCACAGAAACCAAGAGGTATTACTGCACAAATGGAGACTCATGCCCCAGGCAATGCAAATTAACATAACACAAAGCAGATGAAATATTCTGACTGCAGAAGTGGTTTAGAGGTTTTCAGTCTGAACAGGGCTACAGAGGTCACAGCTTCAAGCGTTGGAGAAGAAAGGATGCACTTAAGTTCTGTTGCTCAGCCCAAGGCAGAAGTTTAATCTGTTCAGAGCAGCAATTCTCCAGCCCTCATGTAAGTTGTTGGTCTGAGGTACAGAGTGACAGATCATTGAATACATTTAAAAATTAAGCAATTCACTATGCATGAGATTATGAAAGATGAATCAGACACAAACGTTTAATAAAAATCTACATGTGGCATCAGATGTATAGACTGGGCATAATGTAGAGGCCAGTCAATCACAAAACCAGGATCAGAATCCAAATTTTTTCCAGAGTAGTAGAGTGTGAAGATCCTAGTTTCCGATTCAGACTTAAATGCACGTCAGTCTAAATAAAATAACCTTGTTCTAATTTAACTGGAGTATTGTGCCCAACGTTATTGCAAAGTTAATGTCAATCACAGGATGCCTGTCTTTTCCCAGCCAGTGTCCAACTGTCATTCATTTTGATGACTGTCACACAGTAAATCAGGTCATGTGGAAATCTATAATCACAGACTGGCTTTTGCATCAGCCTGGCTGGATAGGTGATGGTTTTGCCTCAGCTGGAAGCTGATGTCCCACACCCTATGTCTCACTACCCACTTATGCCAAACTGGGAACCCATTCCCTGCTCGGCTCCACCAGTAAGGGATGCACCTGAACAGGGGGTCCTCTGCCTAAGCACACTGATTTCTGACACAGACCTTTACCTTTCAAGAGTCTTTTGAAGATAATGACACCCAACCCATTCCCCACAGTTTCCAAATTTCAATTACATGGCAAATAAAAGACAAGCTGCTTGCAGATAAAAGGAAAACTTACTTGTTAAATAACAGTCCAGACTAAGGGAGACATTGTCAAAAGCAATAATGGCATCGGAACCTTCTTCCCATGAAGCAGTGATCTGAAACCAAAACCTGCACAGATTGGAAAAAATGGGATTAAATTCTGCTAAAGAACATGCAACTCAGAGCTCTTCACAATTAAAGCAGTTTTTGAACTGGTTTAATTAAGTTTTTGGTGGAGAAAAGCTTTTCACATATTAAAATACTAAACTGATAGAGAAAGTATCCTCACTCCTAACAAGGAAAGATGATCTGAGGAGGGGAGCTATACAGTAATATAGGTGGAGAGAGTAAGAGAATACAGCCTCTCTTCCTTCCAGACAAACAGCCTGAAGGAAGCAGAAGTGTGTGTATGGGTGTCATCAGAAAGCAAGGTCCCCTGGATTCTGGCACAAATTAAAAAAAAACAGCTGAACAGACAGACCCCTAAGTGGTTTTATTCTCACAAGTGATTTACACCCTAAAGAGTTAAGAAAAATAAGTAGGCAGGGCTCCTGAAGTAATTTGGAGTTCCAAAAAGGAACTGTCAATCAAAGGCCGAAACCATTTTAGAAAGTATTTGGTGTTGATGTTCTCTGTAGGAAGCAAAGGATATCAAACAGCCCTGACAGTCACAAAAGAGAGGAACTGACATTGGGTAGTCCACAGGAAGAGCAGAACTCATCATCTCCTTATAGAAGCTGAGGAGGTTTGCCTTAAACCACTTCCTGATTTAAGGAAAGCTGGCTTTAGCCAGGAAGTTATGCCACTCTTACATTTCCAGAAGAAAAATCATTGTAAATTCACCCCTCAGTGATATTACACGTCAACAGGAAGAGCAAAAATTACCCATAATCAAATACTTCAAATCTGACAGTATATTGGCCTTGCATTAATTTTGTGTGCTCATGGATTTAGGTTTTCTCTTAGCTTAGCAAGTTCATGTTCTCTCAATGCTTATCTGCCACATAAAATCATAATACTCTGCTTAGGAAAGAGAACAATTTCTGAGAGCAGCCAACCATAGCTCAGCAGTCAGATACAATGCTCAGAGGTTGCATCAAGACTATAAAAACATGAAATGATCACATGATGCAGAACAAGCTGCAAGTGAATACAAAATATTATTTAAACCTAATTCTCTGTTGTATCTTGACGTTTTACGCCAGCAGACGTTAAACCATTTGTGGGTCTCTTTAATGTAGATCTATTGCTGGTGTTTCCTGCTCTATCTTTTAGAGATAAATGTTCAGTCATAATGTGAAGTCTTGCAGGTGTTTCAGTTTAGACAAGAAAATGATGACAGAACAAGGCATTTTAGAGGAGCAGCCCTGTTTATTTGAAAGGCTTTAGAAATCCTGTCTCTTTCTTGCAGCAAGGATCTAAACACCAGCAGAATTTTATTTCTTCTCACAGACTCCAGTCCTTTCTGCATGGCACTGGGTTTAAAATATTTTCTCTCAGCTTTGTATATGTTATTAGCATTCTTATATTAGTGTTGGTGATTCCTACTGTTTTTAAATACCACCCCTCCTTTACCAGCAAGCCAACCTCAAAACCAAAATTCCAGTGAAGTTGCCCTGATCATGCACATATTTACTGTGATGCAGCATATTCCTGTGTTTTGAATGTGGATTTTGACTGAGCCTCCTGACTCTCCTGTCAGCAAATGTAACCAACTTCCATGTTGTTCTACAAACATAGGGCAGCTTTCCAGAGGCAACAGTGAGGTTTGGCAAAAGCTAAAGCAGACCCCCAGGGATATTTGTGACTTTGAGGATATGTAGATTGGAATGTTGTCGTCTTCTGCAACTGGTGTTCCTGCTAAGCTGAAGCTGGGGACACAGTAAGAAAAGCTGACAAAATCAAAGCAAAAACTTAAACCAGAAAAAACTCCTGTCAGCCTCCAAAAGGTGCAAAGGGTTTAGAACAGACCACAATCCATTCACAACAGAAAAGATTTATATAGTTACTATGCTCCTCCTTCTTTATTTCTGGTGAAGAAAAGCAACAATGCTCCAACACTGAAATTTCTCACTCCTTGGAGATATGCATTGCACAGATGGAGAGACTTCCCTAAAATGCACTTTTTATGTTCTAAAGACATGAGCAGCTGCCATGAAAGAGCAGGTGACTGACACGAATAATAGTGGATATGGTGAAGGAAGAGTATCCCTAGCATCAAAGGAAACTCCAAATTGCAAGACAATTTTCCTTGCTAAATGATTCATCTTTATCATCTCAAAAGGTGGCAGCTCCATCCATAGAAATCTAAGTATCACAAAAGCATATTTTTAGCCTTCCCAAATCCATAAAAAGTACAACTGCAGTCTGATGTTGCCAGGAGTCTTGCAGTTCTTAATTGGGATACCTGAAACCCCTTGTGGGTATGTCTAGGAAGAGAACAGCAGGGAACATAAAATCCTTGGATATTAAATTGGCTTCTGACTGAACTGGCTGCCCTCCCCCTGCCTCCCTCCCTCATTTGCTCTACAGCTGACATCCCACAACACTTCAAATGAAATTACAAGCTCTAGCATAAACATAAGCTGTTCAGTTTGAGACATGCCATACAAGACTTAAACAAAAGCTGTTGGACAGGCACAGTGGGCTCTGATCTACTTTTTCCTGCAAGTCACAGTGCCAGCAGCAGAGATGACTGAAGTGTGTGTGTGAAACAGATCCTAAAGCATCACAGGTCACATTCTGGTGTATTATGGAGAACCAGCACCTACCTCAGGCTGTAAAATACAGACTGTAGCTCAGCAGAAGCTTCTCCTTCCCTGTTGTGTGCTGCTGAAATGCCCAGGAAGAGGTAGGGTGGAACCTGGCTCAGCTGCACGTCTTTCAGATAGCTCTGTGTGAAAATCAGTGCCCTGCACACAGTGAGCATTGGTGCTGCATTGAAGGGAACAAGTCTGGTGTATTTGAGCCTCAGCCTATTTCCTCAGGGTGCACACTAAATGCTACTTGGAGACAAGAACAATTTGATGTGAATTTATGTTTGTAAGGTGTTAAACTGAGGGTGCAAAATTAATTAGAAAGGCAAATAAGCAATTCCTCTCTGTCAGGTTTTCCCTCCAGTACTGCAGACTTTAGGTCAGGGAGAACAAGAGACAGATACTTCTGCAAAGACTACGATGCACCTTCTTTCTGCCTCCAGGCAATGAAGCAGTTCTAAAAATATCTTCAGGCAATTTCCTTGGCAGAACCTAAGGTTCATGTCCCAAAGTGTTATGCTTTGATGCACTTTTCATGTTGTGCCTCTTCAGTCAATAAAGGGTTGTTCTTATGAGAATTATCAAATATTCAGCTCCTAAGACCTTGAAGGCATGATACAAACCAGTATTTCTGTTGTTGAAGGGAGTGCCATGTAACATGCCCATATCAGAATGCAATAGGTTGCTTTTTACTTTTATTTACAGTTCATTCGAGTTAAGAGACAGCCTTGCTGATTTCACCTGCAGGAACACTGAGACCAGATCTCTTGAGAAATTTCCACAACTTCACTAGGGATGAAAAAAAAATGGCAGATATGCCTCAAAAATACAAAAATTCTGTGAATGCTAAACACTATTAGGACCATCAGTGCTGCTTTGGTTGCCTATTAATCTTATTTTTTGCTAACAAGAAAGGAGTTTCAGTACAAACCTTCTCTTGAGACCAGCATTTCTGCAACAAATAGTTCATCATTTTATCTTCTCTAGTTTAATGTCACTATTAATTTAGAAATACGATGTCTTTCAAATTCCAGTGAAACAGGATCATCAGTTAACCAACATTTCAATCATTAGCTTTGGTGGCTTTAGCTTAATGGGCTAATTAAGGGAAATTTAATCAAAACTCAAGATGGAAATGTCACACATCAGTGAGATGGAGAAAACCCCACAGACAACCTCATTCACTTGCTTACTCTCTCTCTCCTTTTTTTTCCCCCTTTCTGTTTGATCTCTGAAATCAATGAAATAACTCCCTCTGACTTTGGTGGGAGCTGATACGGAAGCAGCAGCAGCAGCAGCAGCAGCACGTGTTACTGCAGTGACTCAGAACTGTGCTGGAGGTGACAATGTCTCACTGGTGCCTGTGCACAGATCAAAGAGGGGTAATGCTGACTGCACACCCAGTATCTCCAGTGGTCCACAGCCGTGCACAGACACCCACTGCAAACACAGATGCTGCAGTGAATGGTCAGGAAAGAATATTCCTGAAGGCAATTATACAGGAGCAGCCAAATTACTGCTGGCAAGTTTGTCATGACTTTGTTGCTTAATAAATCCCAGCAACTTCTTCACAAGGAAGCCAGATCCTCATCAGATAAGTCTGTATTTGATAGCTAGATTTCTTCATAGGAATGAAAGTATGGCAGCTATGAAACACTTTAATGACGTGGATATTAGAAAAATTATGACTTGAGGACTGGTGGAAATTACTTCTTAACTGTCTCCTTTTGCCCTACTCAACCTGGAGCACAGCTGGAAAGGAGATTCCTTAGATGTATGACAACTGGGAAGTACAAGTTATACCCTGTAGAGTTGAGTGTTGGCTGAGCTGTGAAAGCAAACACATACAAAAGCCTTTTTAAAAGAAATTCTGTTTGAGGTAAATAGGAAATGCTGTACCAGGGGGACACCCTCCCCCCTTGTTTCAATCTCCTCTCTGGGGAAAATCAGCTCCTCTGTTTGAAGGATACAAATTTTACATAAATTCAAAAACCTCTCAAGGGTGACCACTGCTCAAATATTTCAGTCACAGATAAGAAATGACACAAAATGAGCTTCTTTTGGTTTGTATCTTTGGCGCCATCTATGAAATATCAATCCAGATGAACAGTTCTTTGAAAACGTATTTTAACTCAGTTAAATTTGACCAAAACTGGACTACATCAAACCTTCTGGTCTGTAACCTTTCTCATTCCTCAGGTTTTCTGAATCTTGGGTTTTATTTCAGTGTGGTCAGTATTTGAGCTTGGTCACATTTTCTGTTCAGCTCATTCTTTTTTATTACTTATTTTTTTTCTTGATTCTAACAGAAGACTGGTTCTTCCCAAAATATTTGGGGTTTACTAGAGAGGGAAATGAAGAACCAGAAGTGTG